AAATAAAAGAAAAAAAAAATAAATACCTAGATCAAAGTTTGATCTAGTTCAGTGCCAGTAAAGTGTTTGGGTAAAGGTCAGGGTCAAAGGTCAAGGTCAAAAGGTCAAGGTCAAAGGTCAGGATTAAAAATGGGTATCAGTGTCAGTTAGTGTCAGTGTCAGTGTGTTTTAGGTAAAAAAAAAAAAAAAAAAAAAAAAAGACAAAAACAAAATGCGCACTATTGTTTCTGGGCTGTACTACAGGTACAAATAACAAATAACATACACATATATGGTATCGCTGCAATCGTCAAGAGCTGGAAAATGTATTTTGGGTTGTTTTTTGGTGGTAGGTTATGGTAATAACAAGAAACGCACAGCTAAATTAAAAAAAAAAAACTTTTTTTTACTATTTTGGGCCAGTTTTCCTTTGATAATAAAAAAAAATCAGGAGCTATCCATTACCATTTACCAATGGCAATTGGTCCTGAAAAAAAAAACACGGTACAATTCACCTGGATGTACAAAATAGTTGTGATCATATGGACGGTTTTACTAACACGTCAACGTTGCAAAATAGTGCTTAGGCATTTAGATTTGTTTTACCCTTAGAGCTCGTTCACACTTGACTGTTTTTCCAACCCTTGCCAAACGCCCCTATAGCGTTTGACAAGCGTTTGTCCGGTGCGGATAAGCGGCGGTTGCTAGGCGTTTGCCAAGCATTAAAAACGCCCCACAAACACCTATAATGAAGTTTGAATGGTGTTAACGCTCCGCAAATGCCCCACAACTGCATCGCAACCGCACCGCAAACGCCGGCCGGGGCGTTTGCGCAGCGGCACCATAGACTTGAATAGGAGGCTTCAACTCCTCCTGACTCGACCAGAGGCGTCCGTTTTGCATGAAGCAACGCGATGCTAACTCTCCCGTTTGAACAGCACCATGTGCTGCAATGTGCAGAGTTTTTCCAGGCGTTTGGGAAATGGTAAAAATGCTTCCCAAATGCCTGTCTGCCGCTTGCAAACAAGGCTAGTGTGAACATAGCCTTAGGCGTGAAGGGGTTAAGGAAACAGTTAAATTGATGGGTTTAGTTCCACTTTAAAACTGTGTATATCCATTCAGCAAGACATGCACTATACTGTATGTTATCTCGCTGACATGCAATGTTTCTTTCTAAAAATCTCTGACAATCTTAATTAGTCTATTCAAACATCAGTCCACCCTGATTACTGGAGACAAACAGCCAATGGATGATTTCTGTAAGTAATAACACTATAATAATAATAACACAAGACAGACACCCCAGATAAAGCACACTTATCAGTGACAAGGTTCATTTTACTCAAGGGTTCAAATAGGGCTGTTCCTTTCCATCAATGAGGGATATTTAGGAACCAAAGTATGAAGCAGTTGTCCAAATGACTGAAGTTTGTAAAAGAACTTTGTAGGCTGAATTGCTATTTTCTATGCTCAGAGAAATACAGTATGATATTGCTTATTTTTGACATTGCCTAATTCCTTCTGAAAATGCTCATTGTTTTGCTGTCATGCTGTTCCAATGAGTTTCCCATAACAAGCTTGCAATACGTAATGTGAGAACTTCTTAGCTTTATATTTATTTCAGTCAGTGATTCAGAACACATTGAAGCCAATTGATTTTTATTTATATGGCACCAGGGACAATACTTACTGTACCTTGAAAAGTGAAAAGTGTCCTGTGTGCTGGTGGCTGCTGTGTTAGGTTGCCCCCAAAAACCCCTGCCCCCAGATACCCCCACAGCAGTGATCTTTCAGGTGCTGCGGGTATGAATATGAGCAGCTGCACCTATGAAGGGCACTCATCAAGTGCCAACAATGCCCGCCATTTCCACCCCCATCTAGCTCTTTTTTTTTTTAAACAATTAGTGTTTATTCATATAAAGTAGAACATATGAACATCAATGAACTACAAAAAGCTTTGCATGTTATGCAGTCATGTAGTACACAGTAACAAATGTTGGCTTCTGAAAAATCTGACATAAGAAAGTGCATGAACAGAAGAAGAAGATTTAGTAGAGAAAGAAAGAGAACAGCAGTCGTAAGAACAGGTCCAATTCTGCAAGTGGAGTCAAGTATCCACTAGCATGATACACACATCGAAAAGTAGAAAAGTGTTAATCGCCCATCAGCCCTCTATACGTTTCTGAGAAAGTGAAAGCATACCAAATGGACCATAGTTTTTGTAATCTGGCAACCATATCATCAGTCATAGTAAATGTCCTTTCCAACTCCTGATTGACGTAAACCTCTCTTATCCAGTGTTAAATCAAAGGGGCATGTGTGGTCTTCCAATACCTGGGGATTAGGGACTTGGCCGCATTCAAAAGGTGCCGAACCAAGGATTGTCTACGATTTCAAAGCACACTCAGAGATATGGAGGAGACAACATTAGGGGAATGCAGTCTCAGTAATAGAGTATGTCAACTCATGCACTTTGTCCCAAAATGGCACAAGCCTTGGGCATTGCCACCAAATATGTAACAGGGAGCCCTCAGCTGATTCACAGCACCAACATAGGCCTGATGTCTGGGAGAACCACCTTTTTAACCTATCCGGTGTATTATACCATCTTGTTAACAATTTGTAGGAGGTTTCTTGAGTCCTAGTGTTGATGGAGCATTTGTGAGCAAAAATGCAGATTTTTCTCCATTGCTCATCAGAGAAATCTACCTGAAGGGCTGATTCCCAACCCATCTGAAAATTGTGAGGGGGTTCAGAAAGAGTGTTTTGAAGCCATGAATAGGCCAAAGAGGTGGATTTGTCGACGGGTTTTCCCCTTTAAGCAGAGTGTTTCTAGAGTTGTGAGGGCCCTGGAAAAAGCTGCCTTCCATCTGTGGCTAGTCAAAATCACCCCTGTGCTCTATTCATAGAAGCTGTACTATTGGTCCCCACAATGAAAAGCGATCTATGAACAGAGAAGGCAGAACTTTCAATTACTGACCGTCCACCATCCCTAGAGCACTTTTTATTTTGGGAAACAATAGTATGGCTTCTTTGAACGGAGCACGGAAGCGGTAAGGGCAGGCATAACCATCACTTGGCAAGTGCCTGTCACAGCTACAACCACCCATATTAATCCCTTCGGGAGCAGAGAACGTTGAATTTGAACCAAACACAGCAGTCACCAGCACATGGGACACACTTCATTTATGGTAAATACCATCCTTTGTTTAAAAATAAAATCACTAAACTTCAGTTTTTAACTAAAGCAGTTTATCTATCTACACTGCAGGTCACACAATTCTATGCATGTCATATTTGTTTGAGGGTAAGCTTAAAATGTGGATACATTAATGTATGACTAATGGCAAGTTTATTTATTAGTTTTAGATAGAGTGGAGAGGGATTAGAACTCCTGTCAGTTTGTATTGCTATCTGTTTCCCTTTACGGGGATTCACCCTCCTTAGTTGTCCTGTTTACCATTATCATTGAAAGAGAAAGTAAAGAAAATCCCAAATTTTAGGTTACATATTTAGCCCGGCTGAAAAAAAGTCCATCCAGTTCAACCATAAAAAAAAGTTATAATCCTATACCCACAGTTGATCCAGAGAAAGGCAAAAAACCCAGCAAAGCATGATCCAATTTGCTCCTGCAGGGGACATAAATTCCTTCCTGATCCCCCGAGAGGCAATCAGATATTCCCTGGATCAACTTTACCTATAAATGTTAGTATCCAGTATTATTCTGTGTATCCAAGAAAGAATCCAGGCCTTTTTTAAAGCAATCCACTGAGCTGGCCAGAACCAACTCTTCAGGGAGTCTATTCCACATTTGCACGGCTCTTACTGTGAAGAAACCTTTCTGTGTTTGGAGATTTAAATTTCTTTTCCTGCAGACGTAAAGTGTGCCCCCTTGTCCTCTGTGATGACCTCAGGGTGAATAGCTCTACGCCAAGTTCACTATATGAACCACTGATGTATTTATACATGTTGATTATATCCCCCCTTAATCTCCTCTTCTCAAGAGATAATAAATTCAGTTCCTCTAATCTTTCCTCATAGCTGAGCTCCTCCATGCCTCTTATCAGTTTGGTTGCCCTTCTCTGTACTTTCTCCAGTTCCCCAATGTTCTTTTTGTGAATTGGTGTCCAAGACTGAACTGCATATTCCAGATGAGGTAGTACTAATGATTTGTAATGGGGTAATATGATATCTCTCTCTCTGGAGTCTATACCTCTTTTAATACAAGAGAGGATTTTGCTCATTTTAGAACCCGTAGCTTGGCATTGCATGCCATTATTAAGCTTGTGATCTACCAGAACTCCCAGATCCTTCTCCACCATTGATTCTCCCAGTAGTACTCCCCCTAGTTGTCTCCAAAATAGAGGCAAAATGCTCCAATGGGGACACTAGTTCTGGTGACCTAGAGGTCCCCAAGAAATTCCCTTAATTTGCAGGAATTTCCTCTCACTTTTTGTTTGGCTATGGGACAGGAAGTGAAGGTATATCTCCGCAATAGGACACAGATGGTGAAAATAATCAGACAGGGGTTATAACCCTTCCTTACTCTATCCAAAATGAAAATAAAAGTTTTGCCTATAGTTCTACTTTAAATGTTAGGTTCAATGGAAGCCTTGCTGAAAGTCTACTAGAAATACAACCTGTGGGTCTAAATTGTGAACAGGTACATCTACTTAAACAGAACATGCAGATCTCCATTGCAGACAGTGGAAATAATATTGCAAAATGGAGAGAAAAGGCTGGAAGAGATACATTTAGCAAAGTGTTGTAAATACACAATTTTCATCCATTTACTTGAAAGCATTGTATTTAACTTTGGCTGAAACATCACAGCATTATCACAACTGTCAGAACAGTATGAGAGAATGTCTGTAATAGTAGCAAACTTTACTGTGAAATGCAGTCATCTGAGGCTCCTATGGGATGCCTACTTTCACTTGAAGCCTTCCATCACAGACAAAAGAGATAAATGTTCAGAATTTTTATAGTATGTGAGTTGCTACATCAATCATTTCCCTTACCCAGGGCAGTTATAGCTTGTTCCATCACTTTTTCACGAGCTTCTGATGAGGCCATGTCAGCAAGGGCCAGCGAAACACTCTTTGCTCCAAGCTTCAAGCACTTGGTTTTCACCTGTATTCAAGGGAAGGTTGAGTTTATTACCACATCCAGCATGAGACATTTAATGGCTAGGAAGGCTAACTCCTCACCTTGGCAACAAAATGTCTTGTATTTGCTAACTTTTACTATTATCATTTACTAGGTCACAACTTCCAGTTATCTCTAATTTTGTTGGACAGTCCCTATTGTTGGACTACTAAGCAGGTGCAACATACAAGAACAGAAATTATTTTGTTAGATAGGTAAGGCCAGGATTTGGCAGCGAGTGATGAACACAAGCAGAGGACAAAAGACTAGCCATTATTATTGCCTGCAATCTCCCTGCAGCTGTTCTCCACTACTGACTTACCATGCCTTGCCTCATGTCAGCAATGAAATGAGAACAGTAGATAGCACAGAAGTGACATCACCAAATCTCACTCATAATCGCATGAAACTAGCAGAGGAGGCAGTGCATGAGATCTCACACTACAGATATATAACAGTGTCTGCATCAACATCACCATGCATAATCAGAAGCAATGGTGTGGGACACAGAGCATCTCTGTGGTAACTAGTCATTGAGCACAAATGCTGGGGCATTCTAACTTACACTGACACTAACAATAGGACATATATCTCTGTTCTGCTACTGACACCACTGGCAACAAATATGGGGTAGTCCTCATCTCACCCATGCCAACACCATAAAATTCTACTTCCAACCAACACTGATTTTAGGCATACTTCCTCTCAAAGACACCAAAGCCAAGAAACACCTGTTCCCATGGACACCAATGTCAGGATATTCCTCCTCCCATGGACTGACTCCAAGGCCAGGACATTCCTCCTCCCATGGACACCAAGACCAGGACATTCCTCCTCCCATGAATACCAAGGCCAGGACATTCCTCTTCCCATGGACACCAAGACCAGGACATTCCTCTTCCCATGGACACCAAGGCCAGGACATTCCTCCTCCCATGAATACCAAGGCCAGGACTTTCCTCCTCCCATGGACACCAAGGCCAGGACATTCCTCCTCCCAGGGACACCAAAGCTAGTGCATTCCTCCTCCCATAAAGAATAAGGCCAGGGCTTTCTTCCTTCTTTTCATCCAATAAAGGTTGATTCCTGTGTCAATATCTTGATTACAGGTGGTGTTGTACTGCTGTTTTGAGAGGGCTGTTATGCTGCTGGCATGTAGAGGCTGACGTGTTTTGCCCCAGCCCCTAAAAAATACCTAAGCTTTGTCCACAACTCTCTTGCACACTAAAGACCCTGTTTTTTTAGATTTATTTTAGGCCTATCCTTCTGTAAAAATGATCCTGTCATGCAGTACAGATTTTTGGCATATGGGATCTTCATTTTGCAATTTTTATTGATGCAAAAATATGTTCATTATGATTTTACTACTTCCCTTTAAGCCATGCCTAGTTAACCATATTCTTTGTATACACTTTTTCACAGTGCACTATGTGCACTACAAACCTCCGCACCACCACAGTGTCTTTTTTTTTCAAATTACAAAGTTGAGGAGTATGTTCTGGCACTGGAAATGTGTATGCCTGAACAAACAGATTTGATCTGCAGGGAATACTATAGCATTTTGGGCTAGACTTGGTTGCCATGGTGATGTAACTACCAGCTGTTTCATGAAAAGGCAGCCTGAAGTGACTGCACCAAACTACCTCCATGTCTGCTAAGAGTATATTCTGGCCTTATGGGCAATGTTCTCAGATTACTAAATCCACCTTTTGCAAAAATAAATGCACCCTTTTTGCAGAAAAAAAATGTTCACTTATTATTTTTTTTCCATAAATGCCTGCAAAATATTGCAACTGCTATCAGTGGATCGCACTTGCAATGCACAGATTCCTGCAGACTCTTTCTACAGTCGCTGGTCTATAACGAGGTACGTCAAGAGGTGTCTCTCGTAAGTTGATATAGCTTGCTGATTTAGAAATTATTATGAAGAGCTATATAATATTCCCTCCTAATCCCTTTCCCAAGACCAGAAATTATAAACTTTCTTGCATTACTATGTAGCACTACCCCCTTAGGAGTCGCTGAGTTATTTTCGGGCTCCCTGTCGTTCTGGACCCCTTTCTGAAAGTCCAACCCCTGCTGACACCTCAGGACTCTTTTGACCAGAGTAAATTACCATCAGAAAGTAGACTCACACACAAATTAAAGTAAACAGATCTGAGGTTTATATTAAACTTCAACGTAAGCTTGGTTAAATGGTACAAAATGATATTGGTAGTTGAAATGGCAATGATTGCTCTTAGCAACTCTAATCAAAGAAACAACACATACAGCAGAATCTCAATCATTGTTAGCAGGCTTGCTTTTCAGAAGTTAACTCAATATCTTCGACCTGAGGTGGTGTTAACCCCAGTGAGCAATAAAAAACTAGCAATAGGAGAACTAGCTCACTTTGGGCCCTCAGAATCTGATGGCAAGGCTTAAATCTAACATAAAGGAGCTCTTTGACCAAGGTAGTCAATGTCCCTTTAAATGCAGTGAGAATTCTTCTGTGTGCTTACTGGGGCCCAGTTGATGCACAAATAGGAAGTGATGTAAGTGAGAGTATTAAAGGATAAGTTCACCTTTCATAACATGTCACATATTACACCCATATTCAGGATGTAACATGTTATGAATGCACTGGCCTCCGCTCATCCCCGCTCCCCAGCTTTGACAGCAAGCAGGGGATCTCCTCTCCCCTGCTAACTGTCAAATTAAAAAAAGTGACTCCGACCACATTACTCATTTACTGTCCTCTGTGAATGAGGAACTACAAGTCCTGACAACCTTAGTGGCTGTCAATTGTGGTTCTCAATTAACTACCACGGCGCTGTGGAGTGCCGTGGTAGTTAATTGATTCTTCCTGTCAGTATATCTGCTTCCCAGTACGGGCAAGCAGATATACTGACAGATCTGCAGGAGAGCTGCATGGCACCAGCGATCTGCTGAGAGCTGGGACAATGGTTTCCAGGCTCCTTCAACCAAAAATAATAAATGCACATTTTTTTTACCTGCAAAAAAATGTGCACTTATCTTTTAACCACTTCAAGTCCGGACACTTTCACCCCTCCAGTCCAGGCCAATATTCAGCTTTCAGTGATATCACACTTTGAATGACAATTGCGCGGTCATGCAACACTGTACCCATATAAATTTTTTAGCATTTTTTTGAGACAGATACAACTTTATTTTGGTGGTATTTATTCACCACTGGGATTTTTATTTTTTTTGCTATATAAATAAAATTCCAAACATTTTGAAAAAAACAGTGTTTTTCTTATAGAATTTTGCAAATAAATAATCGTTCTTCATAAATCTTGGCCAAAATGTATTCAGCTATCTTTTTAGTAAAAAAAAAAAAAATAACCCAAATTAGTTTATAACCAAAAATTATAATTTTTCAAAAATTGTTTTTACATTTTTATTTTTTTATATTATTATTGATGTTTTTTTTCCTTTTAACATACTGTCACCCTAGCAGTACAGTGTCACCATAGTGACACTGTACTACTTGTGGGGGTGATGAAGGTTTTTTTTAATTTTTTTACACTGATTGCTTTTACACCCATAAAGGCTGTAAAAGCAATCATTTCTCCTTCTCTCTGGCTGCATTCCTGCAGCCATTGAGAAATACTGTGCGAGCTGTGATTGGTACAGCTTGTCACATGGTACAAGGCTGTTGTGAATAGCCTTATACCATGTGACCTCTGTGATCATTCACAGATTTCACAAGTAGTAAGCAATGATGTCAGGAGGTGACATCCCGCTACAAATCTGCCTTCCACACCTACACCTCCTCCCTCCATGCTGCCAAACAAGCCTACTTCCTAACCCTCATCAAGGCCCTCTCCTCCATTCCTCGCCGACTCTTCTCCACCTTCAACTCTCTACTCTCGCCACCCCCACCTCCACCCAGCACCTCAATCACTGCCCTTGAGATTGCCAATCACTTCAAAAACAAGATTGACACAATTCGCAAGGACATTGCCACAACTCACACACCCTCTCAACCCGTCCCCTCTCACACAGCTACCCCCTCATCCCCCCTCCCCCTCGACATAACCCGCAAGGACTTCGTCGCTGCTCAAACTCCCTCCAACCCCCTTCCCCCTCACTCAGCTACCCCCTCATCACCCCTCTCCCATGGCCCCACCACTGCTCTGACCTCCTCTTCCACCCCACCCTACATTCCTCATACTGAAGCTCCCCCAACACTCCGCACCTTTGACCTTACTACCATTGAGGAAGTCTCCAAGATCCTCTCTGATGCCTGCCTCACCACCTGCCCCCTCGACCCTATCCCCTCACAACTCCTACGACCTCTCTCCCCCTCCATCCTCCGCTCCCTCACCCACATCTTCAATCTCTCCCTCTCCTCCGGCACTTTCCCCTCCCCTCTGAAACATGCACACATCACCCCCATACTTAAAAAGCCCTCCCTGGACCCCAATGACCCGAACAACCTCAGACCCATCTCCCTGCTCCCATTTACATCTAAACTCCTCGAGCGCCTAGTCTACACCCGCCTATGCTCTCACCTCAACGACAACAACCTCCTCGATCCCCTACAGTCCGGCTTCCGTCCCCTACACTCCACCGAAACTGCCTTACTCAAACTCTCCAATGACCTGCTAACCGCCAAAGCTAATGGCCACTATTCAGTGCTCCTACTCCTTGACCTCTCTGCGGCCTTCGACACAGTCGACCACCCCCCTCCTCCTCCTCAAAAAACTACACTCCCTCGGCCTCAGAGATTCTGCTCTCTCCTGGCTCTCATCCTACCTGTCACAACGCTCTTTCAGCATTACCTATAATGCTTCCACCTCCCTCTCACTCCCCCTCTCTGTTGGGGTCCCTCAAGGCTCTGTCCTCGGGCCCCTTCTCTTCTCCATCTACACCTCCTCCCTTGGCCAACTCATACACTCTCACGGCTTCAACTACCACCTCTATGCCGATGACACACAAATCTATCTATCAACCCCCCACCTCACCCCCTCGATCTC